AGGGGCACGAACAAGGCCTTCCGGTACTTGCAACAAAGGTAACGAGGTGTGTTATCGTCGCCCCTCCGATACTTAAGTCAGAAGGAGAATATATATGAAAATGTATGCTAAGATTGCATGTAAAAGCGTACCTGAATAATGGACCTGGGTCATGTATTTATAGAGGTAGGTAGTGTACTTTTAGTAGGATTGAATTAGTTGAATGTTCTTATCCAATAGAGTCCTACTTGGGAGGAGTATTTTATTTGTAATATAATTACATGATCAATGATGGTATTGTTGACATAGAGTTCTTGTGGACGTAGGAGTCTCGAGTTGAGGTGTTTGAATCATATTAAAGTCCTTAGAAAGTAGGACTTCTTATAGGCTTGACTAAATGGGGGTTTGGTATGAAGGAAATAGCTCGAGGACTCACGAACCCCATATATCAAAAGGATGTCGAGGACACTACTGACCAGATCACGAGGATGCAAATTGCCACTCCTTGGGTGTATTACCCCGATGACTATGTGCCCCAATATGTGATGAGTAAAACCTCGTGAGTCCTTGGAAGAATCACCTCGGTAGGTTGCCAAAAATGATTGAAGGTCACATAAATCCCATGCTCCAATTAGCCGATCATTTAAGCATGAAGGCATTTAAAATTAATCACTCTAGTCATAACAAATTTCTACAAACAATTACAGGTTAGGCACAAAGTTTGGATTAATTTTGACTTGTGGAGTAACACATGGACTCTTCAAGTTGTGGGTTGGGAGCAATAGGATTTACATAGAAAGATCAATTATTTTTTAACATTTTTTATTCAATTTTTTGGTTTTATTTAAAGAAAAGAGCAAAATTATTTTCTAAGGAATCCGACATACCAAAATCAAAAGTTGGAGATGTCAATATTGAGGACCAAAATGCATTGTCTATTCAAAGTTGAGGACTTCTATGTCTATTTTCCCAAAATAGATAATATTCTGATTCTCCAATTCAAAAAGGCTATAGTCTCCTTTTCCTCGTGCCTATATAGATAAAATTGGTCCATAAAATAAAAGTTGAGCCCCAACCTTGAGAGTTCTCACCGTCCCGTCTCTGGAGTATCGTGAGGGAGGTAAACCGCGGAATGTGTCCTAGCAGGTCAGAGAATAAGAGTTTGCCCGTACATTGATGCTCACGAAGAGTCCAATTTCATAACTTTTATCTGTAGTAAGTAAAAGACGTGGAGGGTGTTCCATATATTTTAGTTTTGTTTCTTCGTTTCATATTTTCATTCAACATTTATTTGTTCCATTCTTGAATCTTTCACTTTTCAATTGAACTCAGTAGATCAACGAATTTCATCTTTAATTACGAAAGGCTAGTAATATTATACCATCATATATTAACGTAAAAGAAATTTAACTACTAGTATAGATTATTCTATGAATCCAGATGTTAAAAAATGAGAGAGAAAAATTACCGATTTTGGTTGAACATTATTCTATATAACTTGTACCCTCGAAAGAATCAAAGGAATGTATACACTTTAAAAAAAAAAGAAAAAAAAAAAGAGAAAAATATAGAAACTAATGGCCCTCAAAAATCGTTCCATCACTTCTATGAAAAATCAGTAATTCCAGAAAGCTGAAAAGAAAAAACGAGGCTTCAAAAATTCCAAAGAAACGAGTCTTGAGGTATGTTATCAGTGTTCCCAGGCCAGTAATCAGGCAATGGTGCCGTCAAAAAATCGCTGGTAATATCATCGAAGGCCGGAAAATTCCCGAAATCCAGTACGGAATTTTCATTTCCCATTGTCAATAGTTGATCCATGAATGCATCGTCCGTAGGTATTTCGATGATCTCTCGGTCCAATTGAGCCGCTTCATCGGAAACTGACGGCGAAAGGGACTCTAATAATTCAGAAGACGAAATCGAAGAAGAAGAAGAAGGAGAAGACGGATTCAAATTACCCGAATCCGAGTGTGCAAATCGGGCTGCAGCGGCCTGGATTTGAACCGGCGTCATTGACCTCCCGTTAAGAATTTCCGGAGGATTATCAGGAAAATTGAACTTAACATTCTTTCCCCGAAGACAGAACAGTGCCGCATCAAAAGCACGCGCCGCCTTTTCCGCCGTATCATAGGAGCCGAGCCAAATCCTTTCCCTGCTATTGGGCAGCCTAATTTCAGACACAAATTTCCCCCACTTGCGCTTCCTCACTCCCTTATACTTAGCAGAGGAATGATTAGATGGCTGCTGCTGTTTTTGGGGCACTGTTTTCACCATTGAAATTTCGATGTTCAAGTATTATTATTATTTTTTTTCTTGTTCTGTTCTTTGTGTTGGAGGAAGAAATGGCGGCGTGTATATATACGAGTAAGTAAAGGGGAGGAGTGAAGAGTCAAAAGAGAGTACGCGTGGAAAAGAGAAAGAAGTTTAGAACAACTACGCGGTGTAGTGTAAGACCACATGGAGAATTTCAAATGCACGTGTTGCGTAGAGCTAACCAGGAAGGAGGATAAATAAATTACAACAAACGTCCCTAACTTTTCTAGAATCTTTATTTTCGACCTTCCCGAAACTAATAGTATTTGTTACGCTCTATTCCAAGCATACGTGACAATCATATGATCAATGTTTTAAAAATTGACCCAGGCGTCAATCCGAAAAAGAAAGACGGTCGAGATTTAAAGGATCGAACCGGTATCTAATCGGATGGCAAATTAAAAAATAAATAAATACACAAATAAACTATAAAATATCAAGATTATAATAGATTTTTAAAATTTAGTTTTTCATTCAAAGTAAATATAATCCATGTTTGTTAACTAAATTTATTATAGTAATTTATTTTATAACCTAAAAAACTAACAATTAATATATCAAAAATAATTTGTTTTGTTCAAATTGAAAATTATAATTTTGTTGGGGTTTATGATTTGTTAATGAAAATAATGAAGTAAACTAGTAAACACTAGTTAGAATTGACAATTAGCTATTACCTCACATTAGAAAATTACCACAGCATTGGAAGAAGAGTCCTTTAAAAAGGAGCTAGTATCCGACATTGGAATATCATTAAATTGAAAGGATGATCTCCTTTACAAAGGAGGTAAAGGAGAGTAACTTGTATAAAAAAGTTATTTGGACCTTCAATTGCAGTGGGTGACCCATTAAGATAGTCAAAAGTTTTTGTGAAAAAAATTAAATCACACTGGAAAAATTGTGGACGGTTTATCGGTTCACGGTTAAACCGGTCGGGTTAATGGTATATTAGCCAGTTTTTAATTTTCAGATTAATATATGAGTGTCGGATCGGATTAAAAACCGGTTCACGGGTTTCCAGATTGAACTGGCCGTTCCAGTCCGATTTTTATAACATTGCATATGATACAAAACTCAACATTTGATAGGTCCTTATGAACCATAATATTTAAACAATTCATTTCTCAATATGATTCTCATAAAACTCTTTGATTTCTTTCCAAAAGTAAATAATTTTTTCAAAAAGAACGCGATAGTTTATTTACTTATTTTTTTAATGTAATTTCTGTACTTACGTTGTCAAAAAGCTAATTTTTCGAAGAATCTCAATTGTCATGAGTTGAACCTTCCTCGTACTAGTAGAGAACTTAGAAACAAAATTGAGAAAAGTAGAATATTTTCAATTAGAATTTAACAGCCTTTGCCGCATCCTTTCCATGACTTCATCCAGGACTATGAACACATGAAAATCGTCCAGAAGTTAGTGGGGCCCCTTGCCCCCAGCCTTGCTTTAAAGGTCCCTACGTGACTGCTAGTAAAACATAATTAGCAAGCCTATTTATGTGAATAGGGGATTGAAACTTACGCATTAATGTTGTTGAATCAGAAATCTATACACTCACGGCTAATCAAATCTAGTTGTCATGCTAAAAAGTTTATAAAAATGACCTGCAACACATAAAAGTAGGGGTGTAAGCGATCCGATTTTATCGATTTTTAACAGATTTTCAAACCAAATCGTTTAAAACGGTTTGAGAAAAACTCAAACCTAAATCAAACCATTTTGAACGGTTTGAAAAAAACTCAAATCTAAACCTAACGGTTTGGTCCGGTTTCAAACTGCCGGTTTCGTCATATATTTTTTTGCTCGTCTACTCTTATGTCATTAATTCATTGAATTTAATATATATTTATATCTCACTAGTAATAAATGTAAAACAAACTAAGCCCCTGTTTGAACCAAATTTTTGGGACAAAAAAATGAAAATTTGGATCGTTATTCCACAAGTTCAGCCACCTTCGTGGACCTGCTATTTCATGTGTGGGACCCAATCTCCTCTCCAATAGTCAATTTTCTTATTATGATGATATGAAAAATATAGCTCCAACAGGAGCTAAATATATCTACTATAAATTTAAATATCAACTAAATCAAAGTGAAATCACAATAAACTAAAACATAGTTTTTTTTTCATTTTTGTTAACCTTTTTTAGGCTAATGACGATATAATAATGTTACAATACAAATCTACAAAACTAGATATAAGGTCCAAAAAACATAATGATGTCCAACAAGGCCTCGTGATCATCATATCTGAAAAAATGATACTGATTAAACAAAGAGAATAACCAACCACAATAATAAATCAATTATTTATAATATCTAAATATAACAATTACACAAGTTTACGTTTGTATGATGTTACGAAACACATTTAATTTCATATTTTTACCTTAGTTTGCTCCAAAAAATTATTGATCTGAAACTTTATTTGTGGCAAATATTATCACCGAAAGTTTAGGATCTTTTTGTCTCTAATTTGATATAATGGACTTCAATTCAACTTTGAAAAGACATGAGAAATCTGAAAAAGAAGTGTGTGGTGCCGGTGGCTCAAAACTGTGTTGAGTGTCGATTGGAGTTAATCTAAATTTTGAAGAGAAAAAAGAGTTTTGATAGATTATGTTAGTCTTGAAATTATTAAATATATATTAGGATTATTGGATGATGATGATGATGATGATGATGATGATGATGATGATGATGATGATGATGATGATGATGATGATGATGATGATGATGATGATGATGATGATGATGATGATGATGATGATGATGATGATGATGATGATGATGATGATGATGATGATGATGATGATGATGATGATAATATATTTGTATTAGAAAATTAGGAATTGACAAAAATACCAACAAATGAAAAAACTATTGAATTTTACATATTTGGATGAATTTTCAAAAAATTTCATTTTTTTCATTTTTTTTATTTTTATATATTTTTTCGCTGGTCCGGTTTGGTTTTAAATCACAATTAAAATTCTCAAACCTAAACCAAATCATTTTGACTGGTTTGGTTTGGGTCAAAACCATTTCGTTGACCGGGTCCACGTGGCACCAAACCGACGATTTCTAAAATGCGATTTCGGTTCGATTTTGCGATTTTTGCTAACAGCCCTACATAAAAGGCAACCTTTGTTATTTGAATATTACTAAAGGTGTCAATTACAACATTCTTAACAAGTGAATGTTGTCACTGGTATATATAATTGAGATTTGACAATATTTTTTAAATATATATTGTTAATGTTGCATTTTTGCAATGTTAAATTTTGCCAAGAGTTACTCTTCTTGAAATGTTTATTAAATGTTACAGAATGTTAAACTTTTGGCTATGTTTATTAAACGTACCAAAAAAAGAAACCTTTGACTATATTTAGTAAACGTTGTTAATATGAAATAAGTTGACTTTTTACAACGTTTATTGAGTATTGTGAAAAGTTTCTCTCTTTTTGCAATGTTTAATAAACGTTGCAGAATGTTAAACTTTTAACAACAATTTAATGAACGTTGTTAGTATGAAATATGTTGACTTTTTACAACGTTTATTGAAAGTTGCTAAAAGTTACTATTTTTCAACTTTTATTGTTTGTTGCAAATAAATAAATAAATTCAGCATAAGTGTACTTTCAATCAATCCTACTTAATAATTTAAAATTATTTAAAAATTAAACTTACAAATAAATAAATAAATAAATAATGTTTTTGAATAAAATATACAAAAAAAAAACATATTTTATCTATTAAAATATACTTTATCTATTTCCTAGATAATTTCAAAAGGACAAATATATTAAACGTTTATAAAATAATTGTTTTTGAATAAAATTTACAAAAAAATTAAATAGCTACAAGTTATAAATTAAATTAGTTTATCTATTAAGTTTATATGTGCTCACTATATATATATATTATTATTATTATTATTTTCACTCATTTCTCTTGAAAGAGAACCGATTGGTGATTCACTGTTCATTCGAGTACACGGGGTTTCACACTTAACATGATTCATACTGTTCATTACTCAATTTCCCTAAAGCACCCTGACCTTTACATTTCCTTTTTAATTTTACTTTCCCTTTCTTTCTTTCTTTTTGTTCAAGACCTTAGACACTGTTCCTCATTTTTCTTCCACATTTGGCAATGGTTCGGAGTTCAGATGAAAGTGGAATCGATAGGCCGAAAGTGGTGGAGAAGTGGCTGGAGGGAGTCAACGTGGATGCTTTGAAAGTCACGAGAAAGGTGCGGAGATTTTTCTAGGTCTCACTACAAGAAAAAAAATGCCTTTTGCAACATGTAAAAAGTAACATTCACTAATTACATATTATAAGGGGTCTACAACAACATCCAGCAAGTGTATGTTGCTATTATTCACTTAGTTAAGTTTTGACAACGCTTTTTTAATGAATGTTGCCAATATGTCATTTTGCAACGTTTGGGGTCCGTTGTCGTTAATTTTTTTACATATGCAATGTGTGTTGTTGTTGATGTTTTAGCAACGTGCAATGCATGTTGCCGTTTATTAGCTTTAGCAACAGGCAATGTGTGTGGCCGTTAAACATTTTAACATCACGCATATGAATGTTATTAATCTTTTCGCAATATTCATTACAAGTTGTTGTTAAATATTTTAGCAACACGCGTTTGAACATTGCCATTAATCTTTTAATAATGTGCATTGCCATTATTTATTATACCAATTTAACCGGATCCAAAATAAAGTGAATCCAGCCCATCAAAAAATTCAACTCACAACAAAATTTAATTAAAAATTTATTTAATTTTCGAAAAACACAGACCCTAAATTCATTTTTCACTACTTCATCCATCCATTGACAGCACTCCAAGAAAAAAAAATATATCATTTCCAAACCAAAATCCTTCTCTCTCGCTAGAAAAATGTCACAAATCTTTCACTCCTCTCCGCCGCAACTTCACCCGACTACCTCACTGCCTTAGCCTTTGTCTCTCTCTCTCTCATCTTGAGTATGTTGATTTATTTCTTATTTCGCTGTATTTATGATTATAATTGCTTATTGAGTTTGTACATTTGTTTTCGTCATTACATATTTGGAGGCTTCAGAAAGTTTTTGGTTTAATTGTTGATTATCAGATTGATTTCATTATGAAAGGTGAACAATTTGCTATTGTGAAGCCATGGCAATGGTGAGCATTTCCTATAGATTATTGTATAATTTAATGCGTGATTTTTTATTATTATTATTATTATTATTATTATTATTATTATTATTATTATTATTTTGTAAAATCATGTATTTTTCTTCACCTAAGTTTGAAAAGAGTATTTTATATTTATGAAAATCTGTAAATTGATTTGTGTTTTTTCAGTTGAGTTAAATCAGAAATTCCAGTAATATTTGATTGGTTTTTATGGAATTCAACATTGTTAATTATAGTTATTTTGTAATTTTAAATAGTTTGTAGATGTGTTAAGAAGATCTATTGGCAATATATAAGAAAAGATGGAACTAAGTATTTGAACTTATGATGGATCCTTCAGTTGAAATTTTAGATCTTGTAAATTTGTAATCTTCATTATTCTTCTTAATTTGGCAGAGGCCTTTTTTAGTATTTGATGAGTGTGATTCACTCATCAATTTAGCACCTTTAAATCTTAGTTTTCGGGTTGTCATTGAGCACATTTGAATGTTTTGATGCAGGTTTTCATGTTGTTTTGCAGCTTAGACAACTTTTAAGAAAATGCCACATTTTGGAGTTGGGATGGAGCCATAATGAAGATCATAAAATTCGAGTATGAAGTGAAGGGAATCGAAGGAAAAGAACATGGCAACGAAGCGTGGAAATTGAACAAAGCAAGAAAGAGTAGTTTCATGGACGCCGTGACGCCAAAATTGGGCGCTTGGGCGTCCAAGGAAAAAAAAAGTTGGCGCTGCATAAAAAAGGGAACAGCAAGTGGTGCCTTGGCGCTCGACACAAAAATAGGAAAGTGCATTTTTCTGGCCCAGATCCGATTCTTCTCATCTTGTAACTTTTGGGAAAGATAAATACCACAAAAAAGACCAAGAAAAGGGGGATTTTTCTGGCATTGAAAAAAGAACTCAAGGCAAAAACAAGAGATCAAGCAATTCAAGGAGGAAGATTTACAATCATTGGGAGAAGATTCAAAGTATCAACTAAGTTTTTTCTAATCTCTTCTTCTCCATGCTTGTTTATCTGTATTTTAGAATATCATTTCCATCAACCATGAACTAAAACCTTAGATCTAGAGTTGATGTAACCTAACTTGATACAATGTTTGGATATTGATATGGTACTTCTTTAGTTTTCCGGTATTTATTTGTGTTATTCATGCTTATTGCTTTCAATCATCTGATCAATGATTGAATGAATTAATGTTTTGAATTTCAGCACTTGAGAGAGGGAGATTTAATCTTGATCTACAAATAATATAACTTAGATTTCATGGTTTTCGAGAGAAAGCACGAATTCTTTGAGGCTTAATTAATTTCTATTGATATAATCTGGAATAGAGATATTGGGATTAAAGTATAGAAATAAATTCTATTTGGTACTCGAGAGAGGGAATGAGATTAATTTACGGTTCTTGCCTATAAATTGAGGATAATTTACAGAAATAACCATTGAGATTGAAAGACATTGTTGATAGGGCAGTGAAATCATTCCCTAGACTTCCTTGCATTGATCATTTTTATATATTTCATCTTAAGTTGTTTGATTTGCCATCTAATTTACAACATATTAATTTAGCATGAACACATCAAGTCAAAAATTGATTTTTCGAATAAAGTTGAAGTTAAAATAATTACAGTATTCGATAGGAATCAAACAACAATCCCTGTGGTTCAACAATTTAATTCTATCACTATATTACAAAACTTGACACCCTGCACTTGCGGTTAAACCACGTTGTATAAAATGCATGACAGTATTCTTTATGGTTTTTTCTGTGCATTTGGTGTGTAACCTGCAGCTCTCTTTCTGTCTAACATGGAGAGTGATAATCTCGACAATTGTCTTGCTGGGTCCAGATGGAATCCTACAAAGGAGCAAATGAACATGCTAGAGAGCTTGTATATGCAGGGTTTAAGGACTCCAAGTGTAGAACAAATTCAGTAGATTACAAATGGGCTGAGGGCTTTTGGCCAAATTCAGCTTATATATGGTTCATTTCTTGAAGTTCATTTTTCTACACCTTTGTAGCAAAACATTTTGACAGTAATTGCTCGAATCTAGTAATATATAATATTCCTAATAAATTTGAAGTCGACTACCTGTGAACTTTTCTATTCAGTACTATTCTTTGCTAGATATGCTAGATTATCACATTTTTTGTGTGTAAGGCAGATTTCTTCTACCCTGTACGTGTGTCTGGATTATTTTGTCATAGATAAAGACTTCGCAAGCTTATATTTGGCTTTATCTTCATTGAGCCACTCGTTAGACGGGGACACTCTGTTCCCATGGTGGTCTTAGTCTCTTTATCCAATGTATGTAATGTACACCAGAAGTAAGAAAGCAAGAGAAGTCATCACAGTGCAGATTATTATATTTCATGCATGAATGACTATTTAACATTGGAAGTTTGAAAGTCATGTGAAGGTACTGCACTTCCAAAAATCTAGGCAAATTATTAATTTAGATTAGTGTGTTGATTTTGTGCTTTAAATTTTGTTGGTATTCTAATGGATAAGACAATTATTTTACTGATAAATAAATGGAGGAACATAATTTGTTCCTTTATTAGTATCCTCCTTCTTGTTGGTGTGTAGTTATAAGCAAAGAAAAACTGTATTATCAGCATTCTAATAATGGGGTCTAGCTAAGCTTAAAAATAAACAAGTTTTTTGTTGGTAAAAGTCGGAATAAGTAACTTATTTTCGCAAATAAAAAGTAATTTATCCAATCATATTTGGAACTCGTGATTGAAAAACAACACTGACATGAATTTCTTCTACAGGTGACAATACAAAAGATGAGATCAAATCTGGAAGAGAAGTTAATGAAGAGGATGGCAGTTGATCATTGAAAAGCCGAAGAATGGAGAGCCACAGCTCAGCTTCAGCACTCGGAACAAATTTAAGACTCTGAATAATCGCGCAAGATGATGAACCAAAATACAGTGCATTTCTTATGTCACAAATCTTGTGTTTACTTCCCTTGCAATAGCCATCACTTATGAATTCATTCACCCCAGCAATCAGAAATTTCAACATCCAGATTGTGATAATTAAAAGGCTATCATCTTAAAAAAATAAAAAAAATCATGTAGAGAGAGTTGAGTTCTTGAAAATAGAAATGTGATAATTTGCTAATTAACATGTAATGGGATATTACGACACTTCTTTGCGTTGATGATGGCAATTTCTTCGTGTCACTTGATTATTTTCTTAATATTTCTTAAAAAAAGACTGCAAGTGCGGTGAACCAAGAGAAACTAGTACCTGAGGATGTAAGTTTTGGGTTGTTGTCGAAGAGACTAGAGGAAGGATATTGCAGGGGTGAAACTGGCTTTATTTTGGATAGAGTACCTCGTACGAGAATTCAGGCTGTAAGTAGTGATGCTGTCCTCTCCTTTTGGATGGTTTATCAAGACTCACAAGTCTCTTTAGATGGAATATATTGAATTGAAGTATCTCTTTCATGCTTTTGACATGTAAGATAATGCAATTTTACTCTTAGCATGTTATCCAAGTTTCGATTGAATTGCGATTTGTTTTTAGTCTGCATCTAGTGTTATAAGAGTAGGAAAAATACTCACAAACATTCTCAAGAAGAACTTTGATGTATGTGACTGCTATGGTCCTTGCAGGAAATCATGGACTGAATTACTGATATAGAATTGGTGCTGAACTTTAACAGAGTATATTCTTGCTCCTTTTCCTCATTTTCTTCCATTTTTTCTATCACTTTGTGCAGTTACACGGTTGAGGCAGACAACCCCCTGTATGGCACTTGATTGGTATGTAAGCATTGAGATTTTAGTTAATCTAGTTTTATTTTTTTACTTGAATAATGAACTCTTTGTAAAGAATCTATACTTTTTTCATATTCTCTTAGCTATTTCTTTTTGTCCATTTATTTTAGTAGGGCTACATTGAGCAATGGATTTACTTTTCCACTTCTGAGATTGATGTTAATTTAGTTTTATTTTTTTACTTGCATAATGAACTCTTTGTAAAGAATTTTCTTCGATTTATTGAAATGATATGTTTAATATTTATTTTGTATGGATTAATAAAGTTATTATTGATTTCATACAATCCCAAAAAATATATATAATTTTGTTAGTTAATTTGAAATTGTTGTACAAAGAGAATTTGAAATCGTTGTACAAAAAAAAAAAAAAAAAAAAAAAAAAAAAAAAAAAAGGACATATGGCAACAGTCCAAAAATGTTGTGAAAACTGAAAAGTAAGGGTATAAATGATTTTTTTTTTTTTTATATAAATAGGTAGGAAATGGCAACGAGCAACGAATGTTGTGAAAACATCAACGATAACGGGTAAAGAATGTTGCAAAAACATCAATGGTAACGAGCAAAAAATTTTGCTAAAATATTAATGGCAATAGGCAATGAACGTTTCTAATACATCAATGGCAACACACATGGAATATTGCTAAACATAAATGGTAACACGCGTTGCACGTTACGAAAATATCAATGGCAACATCTAGTGAACGTTGCTAAAACTTTAACGGCAACATATAATTAACGTTGCAATTATTTTATTTTATTTTATTTTAATTTTATTTTTTAACAATGGTCTTTGAACATTGTCATATCTCTTTGCTCCACGTTAACATCAAAATCCGCAATGTTCAACATACGTTTGAACATTGCAAAAGGCTTTTGACAATAGTTTTTGACCATTGTAAAAGACTATTTTTGGTGTAGTGTTTGTTGAATATGAAGAGGCCTTCACAACCATGAAGGCGCTGGACATAGAGAAGGTCGTTTATGTTATTATTGTAAAGTTCAAATGGTCGTTTAGAGTTCTAGATCGAAGGTTAGGTTTATGGAATTGGTGATGCCCAAAGTAGCGGAGTTGAAAGCAGGAAAATGTACTTATGTTTTACCTCATAATAATACTGTGTATGCCCCTCTAATTAGATTCTTAACCTTTACCTATCCCCTCGCTCACTTTCCTGACCCGGTCGGAGTTGACACAAAAATCCACGAAAGGGATACTTAGAATATGGGTATGCACTTGTGGCTGTATCCATGGCTATTTTCAATTTATACATTTGTTAAATTTTTGTTAATACTGATAGTTTCTTGTTGACACATAAAAATTCAGCTCAAATCGAACAGCCCAGAGAATAAAGTCCAATTGGAGGGTCCCCAAATCAGATAGCCCGAACGAAATCCAATTGAACGAATCAAGGTGAATGCCCAAATAAGGGGCCCAATAGTGCGGTAATGCCATCGCTCAAGTTTGCAAGTCGCTCAGAGTCTGAACGAATAGAGTGGCATACGGTCGTCCAAAGTCTCGCCCAAATCTTCAAGTCGCCCAAGGTATCAACAAACATAACGCATTATGATGCAGTTATTGAGGCAGTTGCTAAAGTAATTTCATCACGTTCCACGACTCAAGGGGTTCAATCAAAAGCGGTTGAACGATGCAAGATAATGGCAGTAGTTAAAAGACAGTTGCATGACAAAGTGGCCATTACAAAGAAAGTGGGTAGTTATTGGGCGATCAAGCAGTTTTTTAGAGCAG